GGGGAGCTTAGTAGGCTTAGCCACAAGTTGCTCGGCAACTTTTCAGCAACTTTTCAGATTTTCGGCAACTTTTTAGAATTTTGGCAACTTTTAGAATTTGCGGCAACTTTGGGCTTTTTGAGGTTCTTTGAAGCCACTTTCTTCACGTTTTGAGCCACATTGGTCAGTTTTTTAGACATTTATTCAATTCAATCTAAAATACAATAATTAGGGTCCCCCCCATGGGTTGATTTTTGTGATGCCTTATCGCGAGGTCAGCGGTATCACGTTGCACGTTTTTCAAGGTGGCGGACAATTACAGTGACTATTTGTTGATCAAGTGAAATGGAAAGAACCTCTGATATTATCATTAGACTTTGACAAATAAAGTTTTGATATGAAGCAATGTGCGAATTTTTAATATTTAACAGCCAAAAAAGGTACGAAAAGCAGAAAAATTTTGACAACTTTTCGGCAACTTCTTGGAAATTCAGCAACTTTTCGGAAAATTTTTGAAAAAAATAGTAACTTTTTGGCAACTTTTAGACACGTACTTTTATCGGCAAATTTTTTGGGATTCATCGGCAACCTGTGGCTAGGCCTAGAGCTTAGCCACTCTTACGAGCTAGAAAAGAGGAAGGAGCTCCTGAAGCAGAGTTTTTCTTCCTAACGTCTTTTTCCTCTTAACCATCACCTTCTACCACAGATACTTCCACCACTGTTATTACTGATTTGTTACCACTAGAGTAACCTCAACTCCTGGCAATGGCAATGAATTTGTAATGATACGCGCATGTGATTTCTTATCCTACTGGTCACTGGTCTGCTGATATCTCTGCAGTCAGCCAAGAGCCTGTAGAATACAAACCTGTCCGAAATGCACGATGTCCTTGAAAGATGTCCCCTCTGCAAAGTGAGCCAGGTATACGGGTACTCGCGACTGTCAAGACGTAGAAAAACAGGTCAGTGAAAATTAAAGTTTGTTATTATGGAGTGAAAGATTCTCATTAAAAGTTTTTATTCCAGGGACCATTATTTTTAGCCTAAGACGGGGGGGGTGGGGGGAGGATTGGGGGAATTATATGAATTTAGTAGGAACGGAGGGGGAGATGAGTCGATACAATAAAGGAGGGAGAACAAAGGGAGGACCAATGAGATGGGATCATAAGAATATTAAAAGCCTTTGGGAGGGATCATGTAAATTTCATCGTGACAGAACAAAGTCCTCCTTCCCCTCAGGCAATAGAAATTATCACCGGTCCCTGAATTTTGTTCTTTTCGTTGTCAACATCTTACCTTATCGATATTTTTGCTATCCATACCGATCACCAACTCCATGAAATCGTAACAAACTCGTTCAGAGATAGGATTTGCGCAGAAACCCAGATTTATAAGAGCTCTTAGGAAGTTTCCGGGAAGAAGATCAAATGTCATACCAGGAAACAATTTCTAGAGAAAAGAAGAAAGGCATATCTGTTTAACTCACTTTTTTTCTTCCGAAATGGAATTTGGGATCCCAGCAATAAATTTCGTCTTGCGATCTATGTCAGTATCTGAGAAACAGCACCCCACCCCTCCCCTGACCGAGCAACAGTCAACTGGTCACAAGTTAGGGTTAGTGTGTGTTGGGTGGGGGGTGGATGGGTGCACGGTTGCTCCAGTGCAGAGATTGATCCCAGAATCCTTACCATCAAGTAAAGAAACTATCACCTCCGATGTTTTCCCTATGAAGAACATTCTGATGGGAGTTAGGGATCCGATTTTCAGAACTCCACCAAATTTTGCTCACAGTGCGAGGTACATAGTTATCACGTAATAAATATCTTCTGTGCTCTTCATCGAATATGATAAATGTTAAGGTTTTCTTCTTACCTTGACAAGTGGATATACGAGTTTTGCTCCGCCTTTTGCAATGTCTGTACAATGATTCAAAGTATAGACTGGTGCTAAGGCGAAGAATATCTTAACTTTCTTTCCCAGAGCCTGATTTTCAGAGAATCCTGTAAAACCAATCAGTGTCCCCTGCGAATGGCCGACATAATACAGCTGTTCTTCACCCGTGACTTTCAATACATAATTTATCATGGCGGGAAGGTCGTATTTAGCCATCTCTTGCCAACTGCGGAAATAAAAATCCAAAGTGAAACACACTCAGGGGATGTAAAAGGCGTAAAACGTAAAAAAACCTGTCTAGACATCCGCACAGAGGTAGAGAGTCAAATGAACGGTTCCGGTAAAACCTCGAACAACCTTAACTGGGGAGGGCTCCTTTTCCGACTGTTACTTCTAGTTGTCACGCAACGAAATTCTTCACTGACGCGCATCGATTTGAAGAAGGTATATACCAAAAACGATTAGCAAACTACTAGACGCCTACTGCACAAAGATTTCTCTACGCAGTGCGCAAACCGAACACGTACCCAGGGTCACGCGTCTAGCCATCCTTACCGAGATCTTCTCGCAGTTCCGGTGGGTGACAAAGGAGAGAGAGAGGCAGAGAGCTAGGGATCAAGGTTGCACGCAATATATGCAGTCGGCGCAAGTAACCAGGATACACAACCAATACGTTTTCACAGCATACAGAGTATCAAATTATTGTAAAATGATTGACGGAGGAAAGGAAAATATATCCGTACGGTTTTTGCTCGGGAAGAAATAAAATAAACTTTCACTGGCTGTAGGGTTTCAAATGGAAGGGTCTTGGAACTGTCAGATCTCAGTGGAATCGTTAAATGTCGCTGAATATTAAAAGTAATTTGAAACACTGAAAATGCATTTCAAGTCACGTTTTTAACTTCCTTGTAGAAATATTCACCCTATGCATTGGGCTTATTTGTATGTTAGTACTGCCGCTTGGAGAAATAATTTTTTAACTTACTAATGTGCTCACGTTAAGACATACAGGAATTCAAGAAGGCTTTTTTGGAATCTATCTTCAAAAGAGTCTCACAAACTCACCTCCAATTCCAGAATTTTGATTGGTGGGGACTGTACTTCACGTGACGGCGCGAGTAATCATTTCCCCGGATGTTTCCAAGCCAGACGTCGAAGCCTCTGTCCGCGAGTATGTAGCCCAGACTTCTGGTTGGAGTATCAATGATCCAGTTCGTTGCGTCTGCAAGAAGGCCGTGCTGTAAGAATACTACCTCTTTGGGGGCAGAACTTTCTTTTTCGTCCCTCCCGCGAGGAATCCTTTGCAAGGCAAGAATAAAGCCATCTTCTGTCGTCACATAATGCTCTTCGACGGGGTATCCTCTGCTGGCAATTATTTGAGTCTGGAGGAAAAAATCCAACAAAGCAGATAAATTCAATCCTTTTTCGTGGCCTACGTACATAAATATGTCCCCTTGAAGTTTGTTCTACCTCAGTAGTTTTTCTGCTAACATGCGTAATCTTAGACGGGCGAAGGTCGATTATTTTTTAAAGTGGTATTAAAAATCCGAAAAAAATGAAAGCAGAAGCATACCTAAAAAAAAGTTGCTTTGACCCACAAAGGAAGGATACCATCACAAAAAAATTAATTGGCATAAACAATTCATTAGAAAAAAAGTGATTGTTTGTCTAAAAAGTCATTGAAGACTTCGAAGCTCCGCGTTCGATATAAAACGTGCACGCGGCATGGAGGACACATCCCTTCACGCTAGTATAGTCTGAGCGCTCTTTGTACTGAGCACAGGAGCAACTTTGCTCAAATACAAAACTACTTGCCGCTTGTTAATTTAAACAACATAAATCTGCAGATTTTTCTCACTGTCGCGGAAAGTCAGATGTCGATTACTAATCATACACATCACAAAATCGAAGGTGAGCGTCATCCGCACAATGAAAAACTTGGTTTCATTCATATCTAATTGTATCATTAAACTACTGCTGCGCGTGATTTTTTTTGTTTTGTTTCGTTTCGTTTTGTTTTGTTTTCTTAATGAAAATACCAATGAAAATGGCATAAGTGAATCAATTCGATCATAGTTCAAAACAGAAGAATGAAAATATAACTCTAGACTTTGTGGCAATCCTTGCTCACAGCACGTGCTCACTTCTCAGTGGGCAATCGTCCTGTGGGATGTCACGTGCCTATTTCATATCGACAGCATGTGATATTAGCCAATACGTACAATAACAAATGTGCTCTGCTAAACCTTTTATCGATCGCCTAGAAGGAACAATAAATGTAATTTTCAAGTAAAGCGTTGAAACAAAGGATCTGAGCACAATCGTCATGTCATGTGAAGGAAAGAACGATATAATCAACAAAGACCGGTAAAAATTTAATGGTCTAGTGCAATAAAATTTGCAATCGCTGTAGATACGTTAATAACATTCTCTACAACTCAAAGCATTAACCCATTACAAGTACAATTGCGGCTAGATTTTTTGTCTCTATTTTCCTATCGGAAGAAGTGCCCAATCGATGTCGCGAGGTATCTAACAGACCTTTTTCTGTGTGTTCCGTTACACGCAGGAAAAGATTGAGTCAACTCACCACATTTCTCATCGCATCCTTATCAGTATGATGAAATCCCAAATGCTTAAAAGGAATAAACTCTCCCACACAAAATATCGCAAAACAAGACACGATAACTGTGTGAAAGATCCACTGCATGTTCTCTATAAAATCAGCGCGTTCGTGATCAAAGGTATACAAACTTAAGGAGAACGCGACTGATGCTGTCAGGCCAAATACGGTAACTAAAGAGAAACTTAGATTCTGTTGCAAAGGTCTCTACATGTCAAATAAATGTGTATCGTATTACTGTTACGCAATTGGATATTCCTCGAGTACAAATGGTCACAGCTTCCTGTTTTGAAGAATAGGGACCTGAAGAAACCACGACGGCGACGCCAAGGAAGACTTCGATTAAAAAATGAATTTCTACTCTTAGTCAGAATTTCTAAAATGGCTGCACTAGCTTACTGTCTCATACAGCGCCACAGCTCAACTGCAGCATGACGTATAAAGTAACCCTTGAGTTCCAAATGGAAATTAAAATAATTTGCCGTCGCGGTTTCGGTTCGCAGACGACGCAAATTTTGGCTATTTCACGTTGTTGTTTTGCATAGGACGGCTAAGAAATGTATAAAGTTTCAAAACGCACGTGCTGAGCTATAGTTCTGCCAATTAGATCTTTGTTTTAATTACTTGCGAGAAAATGAAACCATCTGTGTCAGCCTGTCTTTAATTCCGCTCCATGACTCGATCATGAAGCACAATGAGGGATGGCTGTACTTGCAAACTGTTACTCGTGGATTATTTTGTTGGGGTTCTTGCAAGAGAAAAATGAGACATCATTTCTCTTGGTTTTTTTCATTATTGTGAATGATTGAGGCACTGACTGCATGAAGTAATTTTTTCAATTAGCTAGCCACAATCTTCCCGGCGTTCGATTTTCGTGCAAGGCCCACGCCTACTTCCTTATCCAATCAAATTGTTTGACTATCCTTATCGGGATTATTGGAGCCCTTCGAAGTCCATCCAGATAATCACAATTTTCGCAACTCTCAACACTTTTTTTTAATCTTCGTTTAATTACACCTATATGTCCATAAAAAGGTTCTGTCGAGAAAGCGAAGGTATGGGTGCATCTTTCCCTTGGATGGGGTCACCCAATAGGAAAGGCCGTACGAAAAAATTGTTGTAAAGGGAATTTTTAGTTATTCTATCCTGAATTCTTGATCATCGACAACAACCAGTCAATAAGCAGAGTGCACGTCTCCTAATCGAGATCCCATGTCAACATCGCCGAAGCAACATAAAGCTGTGGAAGTTATATTGCAACGCTCAAATCTTCAACCCTAAAGCTTCGAGAGTGGTTGCGAATCAGATATTTTCAGGACATTATACACAATCGTAAAGGAGATACCAATCTTCTCCAACCAAAGGACTGGGGTTGATTGGGGTAAACTGGGGCACAGTTTTGAAAGGGGACTGCACTTTCTTGACCAGCGGGTGTTATAAGACAAGATGGCGGCCAAAAACGTTGTCAGATGTGCAAATTTATTACGATCATCTTTGACTCGAAACTTAAGGAAAACTTCAATAGCAGGTGAGATTTCATAATTGGTTTCAACTATGTGTTTTTATATTACAATGTACATAAGGCTTACCGACGTGTGAACATCTCGCAATATATGAAACTATAGAGGTTGTGTTACTCCTGGAATATGGTTATCATCTTGAAATGCGTTATAAAGTTTATAGGGGTAACTTGACCGCCGTGGCAAATTTTTCAAGGCTGGTGATTCGTTCATAGCAAAGGGCTAACGCTCAAAACGACAGCTTTCAAAAGTTACCGAGGCGATTTTATGCCTTGTTCTCCAAACAACACTGACACGCGAAGAAAGCGGCGTGTTTTCTACATGTACACTCATTTTTAGCAAGTCCATTAGACAAAACAACTAGATTGCATTCATTGTGAGTTCTTACGGTAAAAATCGTTAACACGGGTTTCAAATTTCAGTTCAGCAAAGTGGGCAATGAGATTTTATTTATATATATATAAATGGTCAAAAATTAAAATTGGATATTGCTTCGGTGCAGAGCTACTATTTAGCTAGCCTAGTTATGTAATCATAGGAACATTATCAACGTAAGTGTTACTCGATTTTTCAGTTGTAAGACACATTCTCAGAGTCTCTCTCAGCTTTATGGAGCAAAATATGGAAAGATTTTGGTATAACCCCACACTACTCTGGGACAAGGCCAAAGTCCCAAGAACTTTAAGGGTAACAAAGTATGGGACTTTGTGGAAATCCTGCTTAAAATATTCCTCAATGAGAGCTACCTATCAGGTGATAGGCATAGAATTTTGATAGAAACTAATTTCATTTTTTGAAGATAGGGTTTATTGGAAGTGTACTATGGTAAATCAACACTGTGAACTGTAACTTAACTGATGTATTTGTATTTACAGGGTTGAGTGTTGCTGCGAAAAATCACAAGTATCAAGGTGCCAATAGCAGTGTGCTTGCAAGAAGTAACCTTGTTAAAAATAGGTACTGAATTTTTCTTGTTTTTATAATGGAATTTCAGTTTCTCTGTGGACACATTCTTGGTGACTGATTCATTTCTGAGTTTAATTTGAATTCTGAGGCTTAGAGGTGAAAAATGTAACATCTTAATCTGTCCCACTAAAATTCAATCTGGTGGTCCTGCAACATCCCCATGAAATAACTCTTTTTTATCAACACACAAACTGGTTCATAGTCTGTACTTTATCATCTATTCTCACTTACGTAAAAGCTGCCGCATATCAAATTAGTAAATTGGATAGCTCAGTACTCTTGTGGCAGAAATGCTATTGGCCATAGAAGTCCCCAGAGAAATTCTCAAGACCTCTTACATGCCATTGTATGCAATATCTCCCTCTTCTTGCAAGTCTACTGATGCCACAGTCTCTGCAAATTTCTCTATTCTCCTCCCCTTCACAGTGGTACTGGCCAATTCCGCTTTCAGCTCATTGTGTGCTTTATACAAACATACTTTTGCCCATAACTCATATATCATAAGGCATAAGGTGGCTTTTAGGTAAGCGTGAATTCATTACTGTCTTTTCCCTGGAATTTCAAGTTGCAGGTCATAGGTAAATGTACTATTTAAACATGATCTTAAAATGAGTCTGACTTCCAAAGAAACCCCCAGCCAAATGTAACACTTTCTGTGGTGGCAGTGCTCCAAACAAAGAGCAAGTTTCAGTGAATGGGAGTGATCTGATCAAAGCTTGGTGAAATTATTTCTCAGTTTGTTGATATTCTTTCTTTCATTTTTTCCTTTTCTTATTTTCCCTACAACTTCTTGGTTAAATTTGATGATAGGGAAGGTGAATGGAAAGGAAACAATTTTCTTAACAATGGTCTTTGCAATCTTACCCAGAGTGCTGGGATTTGTTTGGCCATTGTCATCATTTACAAACTTTTATAGCAACCAAATTTTCACTAGCAAATCAGATCATGATATTGTGGTATTTCAAACAATCGTGTTATTTATTTGTTCCACTTTCATTCTCAGTCTCTTTTGTTATTCATCCCAACAGCTTCACAATGTACACAACGTCTACTGCAGCAGTAACTCCATTTTCAGCAATAAACCCTGTAGGTCTGCTTGGAAATGTTGATATCCGTAGTCTTTGTTCAGGATCAAGTTCCCTGACAGAAGCTAGTGGAGAAGATGATGATGAACAAAATTGTCCACCTTATTCATCAGGTGCATGCCTCTATACACTAGCTATTTCATAAATTCAGGGCTCCAAGCTCAACTTCCCAAAGTGTCACCATTTAGCAAACTAAAATTGGGATAGCAACCTCAACCCATTAATAGCCGCAGCTTTTGTGAAAAACTGTGTTTTGAAGCTAGTCGAGCAGATTTCGGGTCACTGTTGTGGTTTTAAAAGCTCAAACTTACCACAAACCCATTAACAGCTTGTACACTCGACGGCCTTTCGATCCAAATGCAAAATGGCGGCCAGAAAATCTCGGGCACGCGCAGAAAGCAAAATTTCGAGATGAATTTTTGGGTTGAAAAGTAATGCCCCACTTACGACTTTTACTTTTCTCTCTTTCTCCTGCCCTTTTTTTCCCCTTTCCTTGCCTGAAGTTTTACCTCACTTGCTGGAAATTAAGTAGGCTTCATTTTGACGTAGAGATTTTTTAGGAAACTACATTATTTTCAAACCACATGCTCAGAAAGGTAGGTGGGTAATGGAACAAGACTTTCGTGCAGATTTTCAGGTCAAAGTTACATGGTTTTTTGGCTATTTCTCAGATCGCCTTCACTGAATTACGCTCATTCTGGTATCGTTTGTAAGATATTTTCAACCTGTGTAAGTACGTGCTCAAAGTCGTGCTCCAGGGTTAAAAGTGATGATGTCACAAGGCGTAGAAAGGGTGTGGGTCCACATGGGCGCTTACGGGCACACTGGACATCAATAGGTTAAATTGTGAAATGTATACTAGATATAAAATTTTAATCTTAAGAAAAAAAATGATAATTAAGACTAATAAAATAGACTAATGGATGAAAATGCAAAATTATATCATATTGTGAGAAATGGTTATCTCAATTAAGCATTAGACCATGAATACTGTGTGATTTAAACTTAACTAATTGCTTCATGACCAGTGAACACAGATTGTTAAATTGGAAACTTGAACTGGAAATTTAGTTGTTAAAATTCTTTCCTTCTGTCCTTTATCCATTTCACTCCCAAGGTGTCTTTAAATATTTAACAATTATTTGCTGAAGGTGAGGTGAACAATTGTTTTAGTATAATTTCAGAGCTGAACAACAGAGAAATTTCTAAAATCATAACATTATAGTAACATTTTATTGTAACATTTTATATAAACCGTGTGGAGCGGTTTATATAGCGTCATATAAGGAACCGCTCGACCAATCAGATTGCAGGAAGCTCTTTGCTCAGCTCTGAAATTATACTAAATCTTATTAGACATTTTGTTGTGTAGTATCGCTGAGTATTTTTTGTTGTAGGGCGAGTCAAAATACAAATAACAAGTAAAAATACTCCGTGACACTACACAACAAAATGTCTAATAAGTTGTTTATTATCCAACACGCCAAATTGTTATTTCAGTGAGGGTGAATTTCGNTCTTAATCACTCATGGGAGTTCAAAGGTTATTAGAAAGCTAAGTCATTTAGATGTAAAGTTTTTAGAAGTACCGTAAAAACTTGTGTATAAGCTGCGCTCATGTATAAGTGGTACTCCCAACTTTCAAGCATGATTTTGGAAAAAAAAAATTCCAAAAAAGTGCTGTTGTGAAAAAAAGTTGGTCATTTGTTCGCAGATGTTCACAATAAACTTGACGAAGTCTAATGTTGTGTATTTGCAGCACATTAATAAGTTAATCAACTCTGAAAAAAACCTTTTAAAAGCTTCTCTTTAATTGATTTTCCTATTCCCTGTGACTAATAACAGTTGTCTTCATTGCTAAAGCCCACAGCTCAAATGAAAATGATGGAATTTGAGCAAAAATAAAGTGCAGGTGAATGATGCAAAAAGTTTGCTAGGTAACCATGCAGTCATTTAACTAGGGAAGTCTGGACACTAGAGACAAGCAATGGTCTCATGTATAAGACACGTGCACAATTTTTGGCCCAAAACTTAAGCAAAAAGGTGGGGGCGTGGAATGGAATGGTTCATTTTCAGAAGCAGTCGATATTATGTCAATACACCCAATCACATCATTTGCCTAAAGTAGACTTAAGGCTCCTTGCCGACATTAATTTTTTAATTGTGCTTTTTTAGATGTCATAAAAGATGTGCAAGATGAAATGTTAAAGGGGGAATCAAGTGGTCAGATATTTGCTGTGGTTCATATAGGTCAGTGTATAAAGTTAGCCTTGTATGTAGGGTAATGCATGAACAGTAGCCTAACACTTCCAGAGAATAATGAAACTCACTTTGTATCAAGTATCAAGGTGCCAATAGAAATGTGCTTGCAAGTAGTAACCTAGTCAAAAATAGGTACTGAAGTTTTTTTTTTTTTTTTCTATAATGGGATTTCAGTTTCTCTGTGGACAACATTCTTGTTTGTCTTCTAAAGATGAATAATTATTTGTCTTTATCTCTGGAGATTGTTAATTTTGACAGCTTAGTTATATTTAATGTGATTTTCCTTCTCTTTTTCCAGGTGGGAGCCAATTTAAGATCACTGTGAATGACACTATAATTATCAACAGGATTGATGCAGAAACTGGAGATAGAATACATATTGAAAAGGCAAGTTTGACTTAATGTTATGGCAAGTGCTTAACTCTCCTGAGACCACTTCTTTACTTGACTGGACTTTTGATGGAATACACTTTTATTTATTTATGGATTCCTCTTTAAGAGCATGCACTTAGAAAAGTTCAACATTTGAGTCACAAGGAGGTGGAAACCACTTGAAGTGGTGGGGATTTAATGGAAAGAGAACAGTGGTTATGTCTTTACTATGGACTTTCGTGTACAAAGGTGCTGTCAGTTTATAAGCCAGTAGGTTGAATGTGCTAGCTGTAGTCCCAGGTTTAGTCACATAAAGTGACTCTGAAGTGTTTCAGAATCATCTAGTTGCAATATAATTATAAACATTAGGAAGTGGATTCATTTAAGAATTTAATTTGAACTAATGGCATTAACTTGATCCGTATTTATGGTATTCTTTTTCATATTTCAGGTTTTGTTAGTTGGTGGAGAAAATTTTACTGTGATAGGAACCCCATTACTTGTGTGAGTACCTAGTTCTTACCTTAACATAAACGTGTACTGTAATGACAAAATCCTGAAAATAACTACTCTTGTGACTTCCTTTCATAAGATAAGTACTTTTGGGAGTTGTAAGTTTTACTGTTCACTGCCAGTGGTTTGTTCAAGACTGATAAAATTTCACAAAAATTGAGACACCCTTTTGAAATCAAGAATGAAACGAATTTGAGCGGTTAACTGCTTATGCACATTCAGTTTCTGTTATTGAATTATTTAACAATTATTTTTTGAAGCGGAGGTGAATGTTGGTATAAGCCAGGTGGTTTCTTGGAGGTTTCCTCTCCTAACCATACTGTTGAATTTGTGTGAATATTACCCCAGAAGTGGCTTATATTTTCCAAGCTGCGAAGGCTTTTTCCACCCGGCCTGATAAGAGTGGGTCTTACGTTTTCTTTCATAGACGAGACCTTGTGAAGATTGAAGCAACAGTGTTGGAAAAAACCAAGGGACCTAAGAAGATTGTGTTTAAAATGAAACGGAGAAAGGGTTATAGGAGATGGAAAGGTAAACTTCACATACACAGCGACGAGTTAATTCATTGCGCTGAGTTTTACCCGCATATCAATCGCCTTCTGCAAGTATGCTCACAATGAGAAAACAACGCGCAGATGACACCATTATTCGACTTGTTTGCCGTTGGTTTGTCTGTATTATGTACTGTTCCATTATGCCGATGTCAAGTTCAATTAGAGAACATAAAAGACGTCTACACATGGTAAAAAAAAAAAAAAAAAAACTACTGGCACGTTTGTCTCTTGATGACGTGCCTTTTTATGGGGGGAGTGGAGTAGGGGATTAGAAGAGTAGGCGTTTAGGTGGTCAGAATTCGTTTTGTTATCTCAAGGTATTCATAAACTGATTATTTCTTGCTTGCTGGTGTTTTTCATGACAGCCATCATTGATATCATTTTGTTCTCTTATTTCCTAGAACACTTTCAAGATCTTACGGTGCTAAGAATAAACAGCATTCAAGTGCAGCCTTCACTTTTATCGTCTGCTCAGTAAACGCTCTGCCATTCAGTTGTTATCTCATGAAAGCAAGATTTTAACAAGTTATCACGAGCAAAGCATGGGATTATCTCCATCTTCAAGTCCGTGCATCTAACAGAACTTTAGCTTGTGATTTTTTTTTTCGAAAATAAAGTAAAACAAGAGGAATGATCCATTGTCAACAATGGGTAATCTTTGTTCAACCGTTCAGTTTTCGACAACTTTGTTACTAGCTTGAAATATAGTGTCTCAGGCTATGTGGTCAAAAGCTACTAAGAATGTTTGAAGAACGGTGTTGAAGAGATCGACCGTTCCAGTTTCCTTTTTCCTTGCTCTGCTTATCTTGTGACCCATTTAACTTCTAAGAGTGACTAGCATGTATTTTCTCCTTACGTTATGACCCCTGAATCAAACGTTAAGGTCACGAGAATAATGGAAATGATCACCAATCTTTTAAGAAGCTCTTGACTGTTAAAGAAATTATTCTTGTCAGCACCTTAGGAAATGTATAAAGAACAACATAGAGAATATGCATGCTGATGTTAGGGTTTAAAAGTGTTACTTGGTCGGGGAAAACAGGTTCGGCATGGCTTCTTTCTGGGTTGAAAAACTTTGTTGGGTCACACCACTTCCTTTGTCATTGATTAGTCGAATTATTATCAATGGTTTTGGAGAAGACAGTGCTGAAATATTCCTGTGGGGGAGGGGGTGGAGGCAGTGGTGATGTAGCGATACTATCTCTTATTATAGTTCACCACTAACTTTTCTCCGGTTCTTATGGGTTTAAATCGATCACGTGATGCGATAGTGTTCATCCGTGGAGAGAGACTATCAGCCCATAGTGCCCGCCCGCGGAAAATACCCGGATGGATAGAGCCCGTCCGCGGAAAATACCTGGATTGATAGTACTCATCCGTGAAAAGTTTTGAATAGTTTGACGGCCGCGAAGTTAGGCAGATCGGAGAAACAGTGACTTTTCAATTCTGACAGGTATAACGTATTATTTAGCCAATGTACGGTTGCGAATTATTGGTATTTGTGACAGGCTGTAGGCGCGGAAGAAAATTTAGTGGTGAACAATAAAAACCATATAGTGTTTATGTCTCGGAAGTATCGGTCTGATAGTTGCCACTTGGAAATTTGATGTTCTTAAAACTAGCATATTTGCCCTCGAAGCGAAGCGGGCAAATATTTGTTTTAAGAACATCAAATTTCCGCGGGGCAACTATCAGCCGATAATTCCTCGGCAGAAACACTCTATTGTTTAATTAGTTTCCTCTAGAATGTCGAATGTAATTCGATGACATGTATTTCTAAATCAATAACGGCTCTAGCAAAAAAAAAAAGAAAAAAGAAAAACAGAATTCTTCCAGGCCAATGCAGAATATATAAAGCGGAATGTTGAATGTCGATGAAAGTTTTTTTAGAACTGAACGCAGGTTAAAAAAGAACCTTACTGCGAGTTCCTTTGTTTTACCGGCGATTTCATCGACCCAATAAAAAAACGAAAAACGATTTCTTTACCCTACAAAACGAAAAAGCAATTAATTTTTTTTCAGCAATTTCAGTATTCTTTTTCAGCAAACCAGAAATTTCCATGCATGTGGCTTTACCTGATTGGCTTATCATTATTTACCTCATCTATCTTGGACTGGGGATGAAAAGATTTCATGGGTGTTTTTCATGAATACTTCTCTAATTTGATTCAGCGCACCAAGTCCCTGATTTTTCCCTTTTTTTCGTTCGTAACTAATTAAGGAAACTTTCGGGTACACAGATGGCGAAAATTTCCATTTTTTTGCAACTAATATTATGATTGTCATTTTATTTAATTGGCCATCTTCTCCGAATTATAGGAAGTAAAACTAGCTGTTCAATATTTTTCCTTTCATTCGCCTCCCAAACAATTCATGAACTTTCACGGAGGTTTCGCTGCTTGAAAGAAATTTTTATGGAAAAGAAATTAAATAATTACAATGTGTGTGTTATTGACTAAAGGTGGGGGTTAAGATAACTGGATATTAGCAAACCTCTTTTACTTTTGCGTTTTCGAAACCCACTTGAAGTCGAGACCGGCTCATCTTGGCTGAGCGGCCAATCAGGGCTAGGTTCAACTTATCCGACCCACAAAGCCACGAGGTCAGCATGGAGAACACTGAGGTGTAGTTAAATATTTCCTTCCGTTATATCGTTTGAGCTCATGAAGATCAATTAGTAGGTAAGGATTCGCAGCCAGAGCTTTGCGGAGTCGAACTGATGCTTTAACATGCCAAACATCAGTGATGGAGACCTTTGTAGTGCGGTTTTGGTCAGAAAAGGTAACCAAGAAGACGCCTTTCTATACGAGTTTGCCCCGAAATTCTTCATTTTTATATTCATTTTTTTGACAATAACAGCAACTGTTGGAAACAGTTTGATTCTCCTTGCCCTCCATAGTGGAACATCACTTCATGCGCCGTCTAAACTACTCCTTCGTTCTCTGACAGTGGCTGACCTTTTAGCCGGCGCAATCGCGCAGCCATTACTTGCAACTCTAGCATACCTTCTTTTGGATCCCAAAGCTGAGATTTGTCGAATACGAGAACGATATGGAGCAATCGTTGTAACAACAATGTGCTCAGGTGTCTCTTTGCTCTCACTGTACGCTATCAGTATAGACAGATATCGCGCTTTGATGTTAAGATTGCAATATAGACAAGTTGTGACCGTCAAGCGAGTCCGCGGAGCTCTATTTCTGGTTTGGTTCGTGAGCATCCCTATAAGTAGTTCTTTTATTTGGAACATGAAACTGTGTGTCATAGGGACTGATCTTTTAGTGCTTCTTTTAATTTTAGTTTCCACTTGTTGTTACGGAAAAATATTTCTCTCCCTTCAGCGTCAACAAACGCAAATACAAGATGCTACTGGAAACCAAAGTACCAGAATGAACATGGCGCGATACAAAAAAATCGGTTTTCAACGCGCTGTGGGTTCATCTCAAATTATTGACGTGTTACATCCCTTTTGTTGTGACAACAGCTGTGATCGCTATTCATGGATATAACAAGTCTCTGATTTTTGCTGCGAGTGCGGCTGTTGTTCTAGTGCTTTTGAATTCTTCCTTAAACCCTGTTCTTTTCTGCTGGAGGATGAAAGAAGTGAAACAAACTGTGAAGAGTTTAGTCGTACATTTTTACTCTTACTTTACGAATTAAACCACGAAAAGTTTCTGTTTTTAAATGAACATCTCCATTACACAGATACGGTTTCCCAGTATCCTTGAATAAGCGCCTGGGTGCTTGTTTAAAATTTCGGCTGAAAGGAGGGGCGCTTATTGGAGGGAAGGCGCTAATTCGAGGAGGGCGCAAGAAACTATTCTCCTTTGCCGATTTCATTGTAGTTGAAGCTTAAAAAGTTATAAATAAAGTGACAATAGAAATAGGTTTTCCTCGTATCCTTACTACTTGAGAAAGTGAGGGCGGAGGGATGGGTGCTTATTTTATTGTTTGGGTAAGAGAGGTTGACTTAACACGGCAAGAGAGGTTGGCTTACACGGGTGAACGCACATATTAGAGCGTTGGCGCCCATTCGAGGAAATACGATAAGCATCTTTCTCCACTGCTTTGAAAACAATTTTATTCTCGAGGAAATATGGTAAGATACTACGTATGCGGGGTAGCTAACTATTAAACTGAATGTAACAGGATACTTCACCACTTTCATAACATTGCCACCAAATTTTTGTGAGGGTTATCACGATCATTTTCTAACTCTTCCTAAATCATTTAAATTGTAAGTAACCAAGAAAGACATAGTCTGCTACACAGCCGTTCTCGGCCCTAAGTCTGCTACACAGCCGTTCTCGACCCTAAGAACGGCTGTGTAGCAGACTAAGCAAGACAGAGAAAGTAACCGGAATCATACATCTCTGAATTAGCATAACAAATTTGCCGATTGACGGATTTCTTTTCAAACACAATAAGAATTATTTCATTATTATTTATTCGTGTTTTTCTCGTTGCCATGTTCCCACCAATCACGTAGCTCCTTTTTCCTTTTTCCTTTTAGCTGCCTTTAAAAGCACACACAACCCACAATATCTCTATTCGCTCCGACGAAGGGCTAACGCTCAAAACGTCAGCTTTTATAATCGTAACGGTGGCCAATTTACCATTTCAACTTTGTTGATAAATTCAAATTATTTCGTTACCCCCACCGACGCAGCCCCAAACAGTTTCTTTAGAAACTATCAGCCGTTAAGAATTATTTCACATCGAATGTAAGAAACACATCATCCATTAACAGCATCTCAATTTATTCAGTTCTGCGCAATGCTGACACTTAATAAGAAGGAAATAGCATACTAAATAAACAAATTGGACACATCCTTTCTGGAGGAGCTCTTAAAAATTAGTTTTAGTTTGGTAACTGACAGTCAAACTCTTCGTCTTCTCGTCATGTAATGAGACAACGATGCAAAATACTCGAGATTTGTCAAATTTCATTATTAAAGTTAAACAAGAAACTATTAAAACAATACAAAACACATCAACTCAGCTGTTTCGGGACTAGAAAAAGCACTGACAAATCTAAAGTCATTAATTTGGTAAGAACCTCACGCAAGAGAACTCCATCTTTTTCGGTTACCCAAAGTCACCTCAAGCTCGTTTACATTTTAAACTCGTCGACTTCCTCAGAGTTAAAATGTCGGGTGACGACTTGTTTTGTAGCCGATCTTGGGTTCGTAAAGTCAACAACCAAGAAAACTCTGATCTTTTCATCTTTTACCGAGCCGTCGTCTCTTTGCTCATTTTTCTAACAGTAACAGCTACTTTTGGAAATGGGCTGATATTGGCCGCCATACGCAAGAACTCTTGTCTTCATCCGCCTACAAAATTACTTCTTCGTTCTCTGGCGATCACTGATCTCTGCGTCGGTGTCATTTCACAGCCCGCTATAGTTACTATGTACTCCTCGTTTCTTGCAGGAAACTCAGAGCTTTGTCAAATCAGCAAAGATATCGTTTACACTACGACCACCATTTTCTCCGGCATTTCTTTGGCTACATTAACTACCCTAAGCGTGGATCGACTTCTCGCGCTGTTATTGGGCTTGCAATACAGATTAGTTGTAACTGTCAAGCGAATTCGTGCCCTTGTTACTGTATTCTGGTTTTTGAGCACCACTGTCGGCATCGTCTACATCTGGAGTGCGTATTTATATTTCCTGGTGAGCACTGCATCAGTACTGTCACTTGTTGCAATTTCAACATATTGTTACGCAAGAATCTTCCACAACATTCGACGTCAACAAGCACGAGTACAAGCCGCCTTGGAATGCCCTCGCACCGGACTTAACATAGAGCGGTACAAACGAACAGTTCTCAATGCACTATGGGTTCATACAAGTTTAGCCACCTGTTATCTTCCATTTGCTCTAACAACCGCAGTTATCGCCGTGCGTGGCCTAAACAGGTCACTCATTGTTGTTGAGGCTGCGACGTCGGCTTTGGTTTACCTCAACTCTTCACTCAATCCTCTTCTTTACTGCTGGAAGATCAAGGACATTAGGCAAGCTGTGAAGGAAACAGTGCGCCACGTCTGTACTAATCCCGCTTAACACTTAATATACAAGGATTGTTTTAGTTTGCTTTATTTCGCTTCGTCATCCCTTCAACCAATCAGCAACAAAACTAAAGCCACTCGTGACTTGATCATTGGCGCTTTCCCGCGCTTTTCCCGCGACTTGATCAATGACGTTTTTCCCACGCTTGGTCAGCTTAGTTGTTTTACTGTGCTTTCTCACTGGCTCATTGTGATATTTTCCTTTCCTCGGATTGACTGTTGTGATAACTTTGGTTTTGTTTTTAAGTCATTCAATCGAAATTCGCTTTAACTGAAGGCATCACCTTCCAGCTTGCGAGGTTGTATGTTCCCTTCATCTCGTCTGGTTGATCTATAAAAATTGTGAGGTAAGTTACTTGTAGAACATTTTTGGTTGTGCAACAGTCATTTAGTCCAGAGCATTTTAACAAAACAACGATAGAGCGGCCAGGTGAACCATTTCCATGAAAATGTTTTCAGGCGAAATGATTTACAACGAAAAAAAAACAAATGGTTATCTGTTCCAAAATAACAGACGTCTTCCAACGCTACGAACTATGAGACGTGTTCTCACAGAGATCGGTTCAAATCGGTCACTATTTCTTTATTATTTGCACTGCTTGAAGTTACTTTATTCAACATAATCTGCATGAGATGGTCATAACTGGTTGCCTGAGAAATGGAGCGCAGATATGGTCACTTACAACAGTAAACATAAGGGTGACTAAAGCCAAGGCATCCTCCGTCGCAGTCGTTATTTGGTCGTGTCTCGCGCGAAAAGAGGGAGAGAACACGCGACAAAAAAAAATGACTGAGGAGGCCTGAGACTAGAGCCAATGAATAACTTAAAAGTAACCCAGGAATGAACCTTAGTTAAAGAAAGAGTTTGGACAGAATAACAGGGAGGATGTTTAAGTCTTTCCCCTTGCATTGCTTTTTTCAAATTCTTCAATTATGTCCAAATCAAATAGAAGTAAGGAAGTAGATGTAATCTCAAGGCCTAATTCGAGTCGGAGAAAATTCCAGGAAATTGCAAATGAAGTTAAAAAATAGTTGTACGACGAATACCAATCTTTCTTTATCAGATGGAACCGGTGATACTCGCTTCGATCTGTGATTGGTCTAGAGAGCTCGCATCGTCATTTTAAGCAATCAGATGACAAAACTAAGACCAATCATGCCTTGGTAATTCGGGTTTTCCGCGCTTGAGGAAGTTCTATGTTCCCATTTGCTTCTTGACTATGAACTTATTCTGAGTGGCTCCTGTGAATACATCGAGTTTAGTTCAACGAAACCCCTTGGAAAAGTGCACTGCTTCCTTCGTCAGGTTATCAGAGCAGATGCTTCAAAGGTTATTTACGATATCAACACCATAATGGAAAGAATGCTACAATACTTTAATAGTATCTACTAAGCCAACACTTTTTAAACTTTGATCTTTTATGGAAATTACTTCACCCTCAGAATTGTGATATCAAATTCCTCTGATAACCTGTCACTATCAAAGGTGAAAAACTCCAAAACAGGGCGCCAATCTTCCGGTTTGAGAGATCGCCACCTACGTTTCCTAAACACAATTGTAAACTTAAATCTCTATTTACCGTTTATCAGGTGCTAGCTAATAGTCTCAACCGAGCTATTCGTTTCTACGTTAGAAGATACAGTCTTTTGTGTGACTCCTTGCCCTTCAACTTCCATCGTTTGTTCACCATTGTTATCATCCAGAGACATTCCATTGAGATCTCCATTAAAGTGAGTTTGACTGACAGAATCCATATCCATACACACCGAGGTAGCTCGAGAAATGCTGGCTTCTACATTGAGGTCAGAAGGCTCCCCACAGTCAAACGCATGACTGAATATCTGTTGGCCCCAACCACTGGTATAAAGGGTGTCTTCCACGGGACTCCATGCCAGGCCCCGCACGACCTCCGTATGTTCATCACTTCTGAGACTGAGAGAAACAAGGATGAAGTTCATCAACTAGGTCTGAGATATTTAGATAAAGTAACTCGTTGATGACCTCCATTTTAACGTGCGTAAAGGTTACAATTTCTATCACTAAAACAATATCTCTAGAGAAGGTAAGAAAATGTGGACCCCGGAGCCATCTTTGTTCGTCGAATAGGCAGTTTCAAAAGTCACACTCTAAGGATGCTCTTGAATCCTCTACTCCCCAACATCAGTATACATATTTTCCATTCTTTACTCAACACATTTCATTCAGTACTGTCCAGGAGAATTCATTTAACAGTCAAAAGCTTCTTTAGTTGGTGATCATTTCCTGTGTTATTGTGACAGTAATGTTTGATTTCAGGGATGATAATGAAGAGAGAAGTTGGATGCTGTTCCCTCTGATAGATTAAGAGGCCCACAATGCAAACAGTTTCCATATTTTCCTTATACTTTTAATTGTTTGATCGATCAATACAGCCACTCTGTTTCACGTGTTGCTTTGATAAAGATTTCAAACCGATTCCCATTTATCTTGAGACAATTTCACTTACAATCATTACAATTTCCTTGAATGTGATTGGTGGATGAATTACCTTGTTTTTCACTCATTATTCTGTAGAGTTGTAATCAGACGGTTGGTTGTGATAGGACCTCGTCACTGGACAGTTACATTTGTACATCAGCCAGTCACAGTCAAATGTATCCACCAATCACAGAGAATTTAAGAGAAGATGTTTCTAGAGCTTTTCATTGCCCTTATTATAATAATAGTAATAATATAGATCAATTTCTAAAGCGCATTTCCATGTAAATGCTCCAATGCACTTTACAACACTGTGCGGGGGACTTTTCCAGACTGCTAGCGGCAGTTTACAATGAATAAAGAAGAAATTTTACAGATGCCCCCAACCCCATTCCCAGTAACCAGGCCAGACCACATCACAGTAATCTCGTGATGTGGGTTCTTTAATGTCTCCTGCCGAAATTAACTAATTGATAGGTGCAGGAGACGGGACCTCCGGCTTAACATCCTATCCGAGAAGATGAAGCAATGTGAGTGAAGCGTCTTGCTTAACGACACAACGTCAAGCCCCAGCCAGGAATTGAACCCGGGCCATCTCACCCAGAGTCCAGTGCACTGACCACTGGACTACTCACGCCTCACAACTGGACTACATGCATCTTGTTTATCTCCAAAATACCACAAGTATATCAAAGAAAATCTCTCTTTACTTACACTTCTGTGTCATTAAGACAGTCTTGTACGTGAACCCACAAGTCATCTGATACTGATGCGAGCCATTCAGGACTAAACAGACAAAAGAGAGTACATTTTTACTAAGATTTGAGGTTCACACAACAACTAAAAGGAAGATCTCATCAAACCAACCAACCTTCTTGGTGAGAAAGCCAATCTGTTGACAGCTCTTTCATGAGGGCAATAAGTTAGGACTGGTTGTTTGGGGTTTTGGATGTTACAGAGGCACACACTACCATCTTCGTACCCTAAAGCAGTTCAAAACATACATGTTTCTATCAACAAATGACAAAGAAACAAACTTGAATCTGTTACACCATGACAGAAAATATTTCAAATTGTCACTTAAATAGCCAATTCAAACTGATCGTCTTTAAGGATCCACCCATGCTTGGAGGTTGTAAAAATATGGTTTGGAAGAATACTAATGCTCTTTACAGGGTTGTTGGCTAATTTAGAAAAATAGAGGTAAACAGAAGCAGTGTGAAAGAATGATCTTCATTTCTTGTTACTTAGAGAAATTGCAAGCCAGATTTGAATGGCTTACTTTTAATAAAGCCCTTTAACCCTTTCGCTGGCAGGTTCCTGGGGACTCAATATTTTTCTATGATGTAAGCTGACAAATCAGGCCACAGCTCATCACATTTTAAGTTCAACCCCAACAAACTATATATCATTTTAATCATAAGAAAATTTACCATCATTTTAAGACTATTTTGTTACATATGGGTCCTTGTGCACATAATTTGGGGCAAGACAAGCCAAGCATAACAAAATGTTTGAAGAGTATGTTGTTTTTCCTGCTCTACTAAGACAAGGCATCAACGTAGTTGTGAGCATAACTTTTGTATTTTGCAAAAGTGTATTATTTCAGGAACCAAACACTTTTTATTCCATCCAATTATCCTGATTGCAACCAAAGTTATGCCTTTTACTGTTCATCAAGGTGCGGCTTAGTAATTTTCAAAATTAGAGGATATGTGATATTGCAGAACTATACTTGAGTAACAACTAGCTAGCTTCACTTGAAATCACCAAAATAGTAACCACGAAGGACACAAAGAACCATAAATGGACAATAAGGTAAAAATGGTTCTCTTCTTATAAAAAAAATACAATCCATAGCAACCTTCAAAAGTGTAGGCATAGGAAAAATGCAGTATGAAATACTTGACATACATTCAAAGAAAATCATACAGCTCACAAGTCTAAATAGTCACGGTCCTTTTCCCTCAAAAGAAACTTCGTTAGGATCATCCTCAACTCAATTCCGCGTGCTTCCTTGACTGGAATCCATCCAGACGCCATTTTTAAAAGGATAGTATTGCATGAGCAAATTTTTTTCACGAAAAACTAGTCAAATTTAGCTATAAACAGTGAGAAAAAGGGCTACGAATGAAGGAATGTGACTTGACAAACCATAATAATCTTTAAGAACTCAAAACAATACTATCTGGGGGTCCCCTGAGGTTTTTAGTATGGATAGGGTCAGAGCGTATGAATTCGTATGTTTGCCAGAGAAAGGGTTAAACTGGTTTTCATCATCTCAATGGCTCTGGTTCCAAAAGATAAATTGTAATACTCCAAACACCATCTGCTTAGCTACAATGAGACTCAAACCATGAATATTTTTTCAACCCTTTTACCCCAAAGATCTTAAAAGTTATTCTCCCAGCTATCTGTGACACATTTCCTATGATGTACATTGAGATAATTTGGTCAAAAATTATATAACTTCCCTAAAATTTGTTGATATTTTTTATATTTTCTTTGTTCCTATTTGTATGTTTGATAGTGTATTGATCCTGTTAGGAGAAATTATATCTTGGTCACTCCTGAGAGTAAAAAGGGTTAACAAACTAATCTAGCATCCTTTAATTAACAATTATTGGATTCAGTTTTCGCATGATAGCAATAATTATCGAAACCAAAGTTTGTGTTGTCTGGTGAAGCCGAAGGCTGAGGCCGTTAACACAAACTGAGGCCTTGATGATAATTCCGCTCATGTGAAAACCGTATCCAATAATTGTTTTATTATGCATATTCCTGAGCTGCACTTGTAAAGGTAAGAGTGCATAAAACCATTGTTTGTAGATATAATGTCACTTCTACATTTATTTAGAATCTATTGTATGTAGGTATGACATAATAGAATGTATAATAATGTAGATTGTGTGTATTAAAAAGAAGAGAATTTCAGAAATTGATTTATTTTGTCAAGAATTTACAACATTAATGGTAGGTAAACTGACCAAATTTTTTAAAAGGTTAACATTCATTTTCAATAAAATGGCTGCTTCCAAACATTGATTTAGCTGTAGGGAACAGCAGGAACAATAAATTATTTTACCCATGGGAAAAAAAATTATTTCTTATGCAAAATATTTTCATTGTTCCTGCCATCCAACATGGCTACTGTGCAAAACCTCTATTCTAGAAATAACCAAATCTCTACTAACCAAGTGCAAGTAAGTGATGGTCTAATGGACTCCAGTCTGCACAGCGTGGAATGCTGTTATACTGAGAGGGATCTATGAACAGTAGAAGATGCATTTTGAAAAACTTTTTCAAGCTAAATTGTTTCAGTTGCTTACATTCACATTGTGGATCCAGACCTCACCTTCCTCATGAATGCTTGGTAGTACATATAGAGGAAAATTTTTAATCATTAATATGATTTTATTGTATTGTTTAAACTTTCTGGCTCCCTCTTATCATAAGATCCAAGGCTGCTGTTATCATTTTGCACTGATAATATTGAAGGGATGTACAATTGAAACAAAAGCACATGTTTGTATGGTTCTGCTCTTTTCAATCATTAATCTAATTGGATAACTTTCCATAATAACTTCCTCTTCAGACAGAAAATCATATTGTACAATGCTGTAACCTTACAACTTGATATACCTGACAACTTGGAAACACAGTTTGGTGCTCTGGTGTCCCATAGAATAACTCTCCCATCCTAAAAATCAAACCAAAAAAAGGCAACATTACTGTCAGATACTTTCAACAACCTGAGTTACCAGAGTAAAGATAAGATAAGAAGTGGTGTTAGTTTACATTTTCTGTTTTGTTGTTGTTGTGAGGTCCTGGGTTTAACTTTTACACTAACACTGGCCATATTATGGATATTATAGGGAGACATTACATGTCCATCCCCTCTGGGAGTTTTAGGATTAAATATAGCATTTACATTTTACACACACCTGCGAGGCTGAAACAAAAACATCCTGCTCAGTTTTACTGTACACAGCACTCCACACGATGTCCCTGTGACCTAAAAAAAAAAAAAAAAAAAAAAAAAAAAATTTGTCTGGACAAATCACTTCTCTCACATTTAACTTAACTGCTTAATAAGGAAAAAAAGGGTCTAGAACAATGTAACACTAACCTTTGTAAGACTTAATACATTTTTCCTGCTCTAAATCCCACAGTTTGATGCTGATAGAGAAGAGAGGAGTAACAGTACAGTTATAGGTTCATGTATTTGTTCCCATAGTGTTTAACGAGTGTCCTAACTTCTAAAGTTGATTGACAAGTAACTTCTCCTTGCCATTTCACGTATTTCAACTGGCAAGTCAGAGAGGAGATTTGCCAATCGGTTCCTGAAAGTTAAAGGTTAAATCAAATGGAAATATCTCCGTATAACCCCACACTATTCTAAAACTGAGCTATGAGGCTATCTGGAAATCTTGCCGAAATCTTGCCAAAAGCAGCACGTAGAAAATCTCACGTCAAAGTTGTGGAGAAAATAAATTTCGGGGCCTTAATACTTTCAACAAGAAAATAAGAATCGGTTTTATTGGCTGATCATCGTAAACTATGTGTGAACTTTATAGCTGTAAAAGATAATTTTGACAGCGACCTGTTCAGCTCAAAAGATTTCTCTAGGTTGTCTCAGAACAAGTCCACGAGCCTTATTGTCGTGCGTGAACGAAGACTAAATACATAAAAACCTCAGTGCTTACCATCGATCCCAGCTGCCGCTAACAATTTTACTCTTTACACAATCTACACTGACGGAAGAAATTGTATTGTCATGATCTGATAATGACGCCATGTTTTCTAAACTTTGAAAGCTTCCACTCAGACACCAAATGTCCACAGTGCCTGTGTCAGATCCAAGGACAAGTCTTTTAGAGTCGATCCACTTGATATCTGTCGTCCCTGATTCTGTAGCACATCCAGCACTGCAGTAATGGACATCCGGTGCTTTAGCACGATCTTTGAACAACCACAAAGATCCGTTCCAAGTTCGGCCGGTCAACGCTGAGGATGCTACTGCTAATGTGCCGTCTGTGAAAAAAATGGGATAAATTAGAGTTGCAAAACTTACGTTTCATAAATTTAATGCGAGAAAAATGCCGATCAGGAACCTTCTTCAATATCAATGGCATCAACATGCGGATGAAGCTCTGAAGGAAGAATCTCCATTTTGGAATTTTGTTCGGCACGTGCCAAAGTTTTGTGGACTAGAGCGTCATGTAACAGAACATGAAATAATAATACAACCCCTGATGCAAACTAGCTCACTTTATGCCATTTTTCCGAGTCCACGAGATATTTGGAAAAAAATCGTGAGCCCCACAATACGAAGAGGGTCTAGGGTGAAACTGGTGGTCCAAGGACTACGCCACTGGGTACATTTTAAGCCTTACCGGCCGTAGTTGCTCGCACTATCAGAGGCAGGAGCCTGGATCCAAAGCTTAAGGTGGCCGAACACAGTTTTCGCGCGCGCTTTTGCTGATGCAATTCAGGGTTGCGAAAAACAAACATGCCGTCAACTATATATTTAACAATTATTCCACGAGCGCGCGTTGGATATGAGATGATAGATAACCAACGAGGCGCGTAGCGCCGAGTTGGCTATAATCATCTCATATCCAACAAGTGCGAGTGGAATAATTGTTTTATTAAAAACGCCCCCAAGAAATAATTATTTTGTAAGAAGAAACAGGATTTTTTTAGCTCCCTTTTGATTTTAAGCTGACGCGTACGCTTACCATATTTGTAGATTATGGTATATTGGCTCATATACCATAATGGCTAAGCCAATAAAAAGTCTTGAATTGCATTATCCAATGATCCAGTTTTTAATAA